CTGTAGTCAGTCTTCTATTGCTTGTCCCCACCGCAGTAGTGCGTATTTTTGGGTTGAGGGAAGGTGCGTGGCGCACCCTCCTCGCAGTGCAGCTTTTTTTTGCTGCTGCAGCTAGCTGCTGTGTGTGGCGAAATGTTTTTTTCTGGGGTGGGGGGGGTGGCGAGGAAAACTCTACACCCGTACACCACCGAGTAAAGATCATTCGTCGTTGTGGATGGCCCCGAGGCAAAACGCAGCAACAGCGGCAGCAGCAGCAGCAGCAGCAGCAGCAGCAGCAGCAGCAGCAGCCACGTGCCGTTTACCTGTAAGAAAAATAATGGGGAAAAGCTTGAAGAGCGTGAGGAAGAAGCACAATCAGATTTCATTTGACCTCGAACCTTCCCTGCTGCTTTTTTTATCTTCCCTTTGTTTGCTGCTGTGCTGTATGCATAGTCTACAGCAGTATAAGTAGTGTGCCGTGAAGCCTGGGAGTCTTCATGTAGTTGTCATACCCTCGATGATTCCAGTCTTGAGAGGATTAGTGTAGAGATACAGAGTGCTGCGAGCATGATAGTTCAGTAGGATGTTAAAATGGGAAGACTTGCAACAAATAAATGGTCGGGAGAGAATACCTCTACCGACCTTCCCCACGGCGGATTCAGGACATCGTGAACGTACCGCGTGGGATGTATGTGAGGTGTTGCCCCCACACGGCGCAAACCTTAACCTCTCGTACCCGGAAAAGGCAACATCATCCCTTTTCTACACGATCGATCGTGGATCACGAGCGTATCCTCTGTGCAAGATGTGGTTGCTGCTGCTTCTAGTCAGTCGTGAGGATAGTATTCTTTCCGTCTGTTCGGCTGCGCTCAGGGGCCTTCACGCCCACAAGCTGGCCGCTTGTTGCGGGTTACCCGGTGGTTCTATCTGATTTGACTGCGCCCACAGAAAACTGGCGATTCCTGTGTATGTACATTTGTCGGCAAGCTGGATGTGTTTCGCTCCTTCAGTTGGTCTCAAGTGTTTCGGGGAAACATGGAGAATATTTTTTTTCGGACTGGTTTCTCCGAGGAATGTGTTGAATTTCTTCCTGCCTCTTGTTCCGCGAAAAACTAGTTGTTATTCCTACGGTGACGCGGTCACGTACCGTGGCCGCACAACGTACTTCGAATCAAGCGTTTCGATATGAATGCTTGGTTTCGTCATACAACACGGGCCATTTTTATTCTGGCCGCCACTTCCATTGGCCGTGCGTGGACCCCCTTTTTTTGCTGCCATTCTCTGAATGCCTTGCTCAAATCGATCATAGCCACCGGGACAATACTACGATGTGGGTGTTTCATGCATCATCAGCCTTTACCGCATACCCGCCCACCCCTTCTCGCCATTACCGATATGGCCGTGCTCTCCACCACGGCTTTGGCGCTTGGCTCTGCGGGCCTACACCAGACGATCATGGACGCCGGACTGGAGGAGCTTGACCTTCAAGCATACGAAGAAGCTATGGACGGTGAAGATGATTCGGCCTCTTGAGCCCATGTTGCACAACAGCTTGGCGGTGCTCATGGTACTACCCCCCAAGAATCTGTGGACTTCGGCAAAGGGGCCCCTTTGCCGTCTGTTTCTCCTTTCGGCAACCGTTTAAGCTCCTGTGTGAGCGTGCCCCTACCCCCGGTGCCCCTGTGAACGCCCCCATTTCGGGCTCCATGCGCGCGGCTACTGCAGTGGCGTCCACCTTGCTCCAAAGCGGAACCCCTCCTTTTGCCAGACAACACACATCAACACGGAATTCGACTTGCTACATGAATTCGTGCTCGCGCACCAGCAGCAACGCTGCACGATATCTGGAGGACCTTCCCGCTAAGGTCGACGAGGAGCGGCCCCAGAATCAATCGCTGTCGTCTTCTGTGGCAAAACAGCCCCTCTTGCGAAGACCGGGCCACACTGGACGCCAAGACTGCGGCTCCCGCATCTTCGGACTCCTCGTAGAATCTGGAGCAGCCTCCCGCTTCGGGGACCTCCCCGCACACCGCAGCGACCCGTGTCATCACGCTTACGGCCCCGCCCACGAGCCGCCCTCCCAGCGAGCTTGCCACGCCGGAGCCCTTTCCTGTTCGTTCAAGGAACCCTGTGAACCAGGTGAACCTTCGGCATCGGCATCCTTCACCGTGACTACGGACACCCAGCGCCTCGCGAGGTGGACAATGCTCCTGACGAGCCTCCTCGCTGCAATCGGAATATATGTGTGTTCCACCCAAGTGTCAGTATGTTCCTTCTACGGCATACCTTTTGGCACAGTATTTTGCAGTGGTGCCATCGAGTTCAACGCTGCCGATTCCTCTGTGGCTCGCACGGCTTGGCCTGCCGCCAGTTAGGCATAAAATCTATCGACAAACCGGCCAAGTTACTCTCCCCGGAGATATCATGGATCGATTAGCGCTTCACCTCGACATCGCAGCAATTCTACACCAAGCTTGCGTCGTTTGGCTGGCCTTCTGCAAACTGCGAGTCATATCCCGTCTCGGAGCAGCACACGCTCCCATTTACCTCTTTTGCCTCCTCGTCTATCTCTCTTCGCCTTGTTCGGACTCCAGTTCATGTTCTGGGTAAAATTAGAACTATGCGTAGCAAGGACAAGGTCGCCAGTGATGAGGAGACCGGGTGTCAGCCGGGAAGCCGCCCCGGCCGCCATGCTGGACCGACGACTGCACCACCCATGCCAATCGTCAACGGCTGTTCTGAATATGACCTAGATGTAGTGGGAGCATGCCGAACAGATTCGCCCTTGGTTCCGTTGTTGAACTAGGGTGATGGTGATACACCGACGACCTCTATCTCCGCGTGGGTGCACGTTTCCCCCTCAAAAACCATGAAGCCGGGAGGCCCTTCTGTACGGGGGCCAAATGATGCTGGTATTCCTTTCTGTGCTCGTGCTTTGGGCGGGTGATTTCCGCGCCACATTTGGACCATCCAGTCCTCTCCGTGAACTTACGCCCTCCTTCAACGAACGAGAGACACTTGCGTACACCCACGAAACGGTAGCAAACGAATATTCTGCCTCCAACCCGTTGCCCGTTGGTGATACGGGAACATAAAATGACTGTCTGCCGAGTATCGTCTTGTCGACATCTTTTTTCTTCCGTTGCAGTGATTCATGTTTCTTGTTTTCTCGGAGTACAACTGTCATGCAAAGTAAACTACTTCGCCAGGAAATCGACAGCGGAACGTTACATTTTTCTGAAGATGTCACCATTTTCGGCCCACCGCCGGCGAGGCAGAAGTCGAAACACGCGATGTGCTTCGCACCACGTCTACGACCCCGTTCAATCATACTTCGGTGAAAGGGCTGCAGCTATCCCATCCATGTTTCGCGGCGAACCCAGCTCCCTATCCCACGCCCTACTCTGTACCAGCTAACAGTTAAATCGGGTGGCACCATCTAGCCCCACACGTGACATCATGCGATAACCGTTCCAGGATGTCAACGGTGGAGAGGTCCTCGGAGCAAGGACATCAACATTGATCCCCGGAGGAACACCTGACACACCGGTAAGCTTTCCGCCCTTCTTGCCGGAGTGGTGCTTACGTATGGAGGAGATAATACTATAGTCCGAGTTCTAATGTTTTGTAGGAGAATCGATTGCCGCATCTTTGGCACACCACAAAAATCTGCTGACCTGTACGGCTCAGGCTGACCGCCAGCAGTAGTCGGAGCTTGGGATGGTCCTGTAGCTCCATTGTTGCGAGTTTCGTCTACACATAGTGTTTGGCCAATTGTAGTGCTTCCGGATATGGTACAAGGGAAGCATGGAGGGGCGGTGGCGGTATGTGCCACACGGCGTTGGTTGATTTTCAGGTAAATACGTTGCGTCTACGTAACATGGACTACAATCAGCAACACACTTCAAATTTGGGGGGGCGAGGGGGTCACTCATGGTTGTCGCCGCGGTGTATGATCATACCAGTGTGTCCTCGGACGCCATCTTGCCTACATGTGATGCAACTAGAGTATGTGCAGCCATTAGGAGGAGTCGAGACCGGCACTACATACATACGTTATACACACATGTAGTGGTTCAGGACGGGAGAATCCGACCTACTCGAAGGACCGCCCTGTTGGGGGGGGTGATGGAATATTCAGGGAGAGTAAGTGCCGTACAGCAGTACCAGCCCGCTAGCAGGTCAGGCCAGCGTCGGGTCGGATAAGTTTCTTATTTCGTCGCCGCCGTCGAGCCTAGACTGTACCATATGTATGTCTACATTGTATGTTGTTGTTGTTGTTGTTGTCGTTGTTGTTGTTTCTCACATTAGCTCTATAGTCCACAAACAAACAAAAAATGGGGAGCTCTTGGTCTCAATACCCGTCACATACGACGCCGCGGGGAAACAAAACAAAAATAGGGTACAAACCACTCGGAAAGAGAAAACAAAATGATCGAAAGAAAAGAACAGGTATCGCACCGACCGTTCGAGAAAAGAGCCCTCGGAAACCGATACCCCTCGGTTGGCCTTTCAGAATATCTCATGTGCAATAACGAAACGAATGAAACGATTGCATTCCCACATTCGCACGCCGTCACTCGCTGTGACCACCAAGGATGCAGAAATCTACTGCTGTATGTAGCACGTCATCCCTGAGGAGAAATTTAGCTCCGGCACGTGGAAAGTAAGCGAGATTTAGGGTGTGCATTGCAGAAAGTTCAGTGCAAAGACTTCCTTCACATGCATGCGTTGTCCTTTCTTGAGTCCACTCGATGTGCTGGTGGTACGCAGTCGTGACTTCAGGTCCACTCCAGCAGCAGCAAGGGTATGATTACATGATCGGTGGCAAATGACTGCTGCTCGCTGTGGAAATATTTTTTTAATGAAAACGCCAATTTTCATTTTATTTGTTTTCACCTCTGCCCCCCCCCCCCCCCCCCCCCCCCCCCCCCCCCCCCCCCCCCC